GATCGAGGCGACCAGAAAAGCAAGAAGCAAAACCTTATATCTCCTCCCTCGATACCCGAAGCGGTAAAAATAAAGTGGGGAAGAAACAGAAGACATGATGATAATAACAACAATAATAGTAATAATAATAATAATAATAATAATAATGACAATAATAATAATTACAACATAAGCTTGAAAGGTGCCAAACACAGCAAGCTATAAAGAGGACACGCCTGAGAGAAAACCGGTATCATAACGATAATCACCGTTTTTAATGTGTACTGTGTGGAAGATTGCCACATCAGCACTGGGACTTTACAGTCATACCAGACGCTGCCAGGAACTGACGGTTGCCTACTGAATAACACTAACAATAATACTGTAATAAAATGACAAGACAAGAATGGCAAGACATCAACGTGGCTGCTTCGGAATAAGTCAGTTAATTAAATGATTTTGTGTATTCGTGTAGTTGTGCTTGATTTATGCATGTGCTGATAGCTGCAACTTTCACGGTTCTTTGTGTTTGTTATGTTGTGAAGCTGGCTGATCTGACTGATTGACTGACTTTCTACTCCACCAGGATATCACACAATTGATAAACACACTTGATGACACAAAGTGCTACCATGCAAATGAGGATCGCCGTGGAGAGGTCCCAGAAACCGCGTTCAGACATTTGGCCATATTTATGGCCTGCCTATATTGCGGTCCCCGGCAAAAGCCAGGGTGGAGCTTCAAATAAAACATTTCATCCTGAAAAGGACGAAAGCTGGCTGAACTACTTTTCGTTCGGTTTTATATCTTTCCATGTAACCACAGTGAGTATTACAAGGTCTTCATGTAGCACGGACTCACACCGGAAAACGAACGACCCAAGGGCGGTCACCCGTGAAACAACAAGACCTGACGTCTGGAGAATGAGATCTCCATCAGTGTTGCCATTTTGAATCTTTTATATCCAAATTTAAATCTTTTTCATTGCATTTAGATACTGTTTTTGACGTTTAGATCATAAATATTTTTCTAGATTCTTTTCATATTTTATAGAATTTTTTTTTTCTTTCATTGTCAATTTAAAAATTACTGTGTAAAATATTTACTACAATATTTTTGTTTTGGTCTGGCACGTACACTGTGACAACTGCCATTACTTGAACTTTGAACTCTCACTGGGGTCAACGCACAAATATCTGGCAGCCCTGGTACTGATTAATAAAAACGCGCGTAAATCATACTAACTTTGTTTCAACCGTATCCTCACTGTGCTGACTTTGCGTTTCTTTTTCATGTGATTAAAAAAAAATAATTGCTCACTTTCTTTTGTGGCTTTCACTTTGAAAAAATCTTTCAACATGCCAAAAGTAAAGTATGAACACAAAATTTGGAAAGAGTGGTTGCATGATGACAAAATTAAAAACTGGGGATATGACCAAAGCTTGTTGTAAGCACTGCAAGTGTGAAATTAAAGCGAAAATACAAAACTCAAAGAGTCATGCAGAGACTAAAAAAGCATAAAACTGCAGTTTCATTTAAAGATATTACACCGCTGACATCTGTTTTCAGAACTATACTGATAAATGAATCATCAAAAGTTGAAGTATCAGTCGCAATTGTTTTTAATTTGTCACTGCGCAATTTCAAACTGTGACCATTTGATCGATTTGTAAAAAATCTTGGACTAGTTCAATTTCAAAAGTGTGGTGTAGAAAGTATAGTTTAGGAACTGAAGGACCTTAGGCTTGAAGAATTTGGCTGTAATTGGTACTGATAATGCCTCAGTGATGGTTGGTATAAACAATGGCGTTTATGCCAAGTTGAAGGAAGCTAACCCATGGTTAATACTTAAAAAATGTATGCGTCATTCATTGCAGCTAGCATTATCACATGCTTCATCTAAGTATTTACCAAGGAATTTGGAATACCTTATTGCTGAAACACTTTACTGGTTTCCCAAATCATTTGTCAGACTACAGCAATACAATACATTATATACAGCCTTGAATGATGGTTCCACACCACCGAAAATTCTGTCAGATTGCAAAACTAGATGGTTATCAATTTAACCAGCTGTTAAAAGAATTATGAAGCAATGGCTGAAGTTGAAGACACACTTTGAAATAACAAGACAAAGTGAAAAGTGCTACACAGCTGAAATACTATATGAAAAAAATTTGTCATTCATTATCTTTTTATAACCTATTCTAATGGAAGTGCAAAAAGGTAATAAACTGTTCGAATCTAAACTTGTTGATAAAGTTAAATTACTTGATGATCTCACCTTGATATTTCACTCGGTAAAAGACTGGTGTTGCCAACTTCTAAAGCTGATTTGCTCACTTGCACTATAGAGAGCTATTTGGCTCCTAAGCCACACCTTGGATATTAAATCGAATCAAAAATTGATAATTTAAAAACAAAATGACTGTTAACAGAGAATGAGGAGAACAACTTAAGAAAACGCTGTCAAGATTTCCTTATCTCATTATTGAAGCAATTGAAGCAGAGACTTCCTGAAAATCTAGATGTTTTGAAAAATATTTCACTTTTTTCTGTGAGCAACATACTTTAGCCAATAAAGGACATACCTAAATATTGTAAAGTTATGAAATTTTTAGGGGCTACTGATAATAGTGTCGCGGAAGCAGATTATCAGTTAACCAAAATAAAGTTAGCTGAATGGACAAACAAAACAGAAACTAAAGCATTTTGGAGTGAAGTGAGACAATTTAAAGATGCCTCATCAACCATGATACTACCCCACTCAAATGCTGACGTAGAAAGAGTTTTCAGTGCTAGGAATTATATCAAATCTAACCTAAAAAACAGGATGAAATTTGACCTCTTAAATGCTATCGTGCCATTAAAATTCGGCTGATGAGATTAGAGAAATAAGCCTACTGTTCCACTTATAAAGAAATTTGAACAGCTAAAGCATACCAGGGTCATTTTGGATCTGAAGCTTCAACTTCATTATCCAAGCTAAGTTTATCCTGTGGATCTTGTGAGGCAGACATCAGTGAAGGTGAGGACATGATTATGTAGGGTAAGTCATAACAAAAACTATGTAATTTTTGACTTTTTCAATTTGGATGTTGTTTCTAGATCTTTTCCACGCAGATTTAGATCTTTTTAGATATTTTTTGACACCGTTTTGGATATTTTTTGTCAAACAAAAGTGGCAACACTGCTCCATAGAACAGACACAGCTGGGCTGGGCTGGGCAGAGAGAGGGAGGCTGGTAGTTCGTCGATCGAATGTAGGATAGATTCCAGGTGCAATTATCCGTTCTCAGTGATGCGTTTCATTTTCTGAACAGTACTTTTTGACGGGAACAAATACGGATGAAAGGTATATCATATTTATTATGCTTTTGGTCAGTTTAATTTTCAAATGAATCTACGTTATTCGTGCGTTATATATAATATAATAATAATATTGTGTTTAAAAAAAAAAAAACAGAAATAAAAATAAACGGTAAAGTATACGAAACTCATACAGTTTGTTTATACAACATACATTTTTAGAAAAACAAATAAAAGGCTTAATTTTTTGACAATTTAGTAACATTTACTATATTATTAACTTAAATTAATACAAAATTCATTGACAACACAACACACATAAATCAATAACAACACATTCACAACACACAAATTCAGTTAACAGTAACACACAGAAAAGAACTGTTCTTCTTCAGCTTCTTTGTTTGCTGACATTGTCAGATTGTATTCTGAAATATGCGTTGATATGATGAACTCAACAGTACAAAATGAAAACAACAAACCTAAAACTAATAATTATAAGGGCTCTCCGAATGATGGGTCTGAATGATCCTGTTTCAAAATATACCCTAACAGGGCCTCAATAATATGAGAAATTATGATTTTTTCCAGCAAATATGGCAGGCAGACCATCAGCTCCAACACAGCTTAGGATTAATGTTCTACCGATTAAAAAACTGGCAGCTGTAGATGTAAAAATCCAATATATAAAACTAACATCCCTAATATGAAATATATTCCAATTTCCTGTGTGATGGGAAATGAACAAACAGACTAGCTGGTTCTGCCCACTTAAGAATAAATTGATCTATGACAAGGGCTTTTGAAAAAGAGTGAACAATGTGGAGACAAAAACAGATCATCATAATCTGACAAGAATAGTACAGCGAGGAGTCACAAGGGGATCTGATCGCCATTTGGCACTTAGAGGAAAGGCAAGGCGGCCATACCAACTGCCTCCCCACCAAGCATGTCGCAGATGTAGACTAATTTGGAGGTTCCTTCGAAGTTGGAGTTCATCTGCCCGAGCGGCAAGGAATAAACAATGGTACACAATAAAGCCAGTAAAATGGATGTACATGCAAAACTCAGGCCCTGGCACAAGGCGAAAGTCCGAATGGATGAACAACCAGGACTTTTCCCACAGGAGCTTACAGCTGATGAACAACCAGGACTTTTTCACAGGAGCTTACAGCCGATGAACAACCAGGACTTTTCCCACAGGAGCTTACAGCCGATGAACAACCAGGACTTTTCCCACAGGAGCTTACAGCCGATGAACAACCGGGACTTTTCCACAGGAGCTTACAGCCGATGAACAACCAGGACTTTTCCACAGGAGCTTACAGCTGGTGAACAACCAGGACTTTTTCACAGGAGCTTACAGCTAGTGAACAACCAGGACTTTTCCACATGAGCTTACAGCTGGTGAACAACCAGGACTTTTCCACAGGAGCTTACAGCTGGTGAACAACCAGGACTTTTCCACAGGAGCTTACAGCTGATGAACAACGAGGACTTTTCCACAGGAGCTTACAGCTGGTGAACAACCAGGACTTTTCCACAGGAGCTTACAGCTGATGAACAAAGAAGAAGTGGATGAATAACCAGAACTGTCTGCTGAAGTTAACTGTTGGCAAATGCTAAAAAGAAGAAAATTTGCAAACTTAGTGAATTTTTTGTTTTGTTTACAGCAAACCATCACATTCCATGCATCATTCTCAAACAAATCCGATGGCCAGCTCTCGCAAGCAGCAGAAATATCGCTCAAGAAGAAGACTTGCAGCGCTGAGTTTCCTATCTAACATATCTCTAGATGGGACTTACTCAAACATTCCAGTGGCTTCAAGTGGCAAAGAGGTAACTGATAACAGTGACAGCCCTCCGTCAGATGAAGAATGTGTTCAAGCTCCATCGTCAGCTAAGAAAGATTGTCATGAGATTCTGAAGGAAGTCGGTGAGGAAACGGGGGGTAAATCAGTAGAGGGTGTTGATAATGTGTCGTCACAGAAGGACGAAGATGTGTTAAAGCTGAAAACTGTTATCAATGTGTCAAGGTCGCCGATTGTTTCTCGCTTGGAGCACCTCTTGGAGGGACAAGGAGGAAAAAGGTGCAGGTAAATTTTACTTACGTGAATTTTTTTTTCTTTTTAATTCTTCATTATCACGTTCACCAGCTGTAAACTCTGGAAAGTTCTGGTTGTTCATCCACTTCTAGACTGCAGTCCTGTTCCCAGTACTCGAGTGTTGCGTGTGCATCCGTTTTACAGATCTGACTCATTTGTATGCAGACTGCTGGTTCCTTACCTCTCAGGCAGATGCACTCCGACTTCGATTTTCATTTTAATGACTTGTGTAGTATTTTTTTTTTTTTTTTTAACAATCCTTGCTATGTGACATCCGTAGTCATCTATATGGTCTTTTATCTCATGTACTTTTAAGTCAGTACTGACACATGATCTTCCATGCTAACTTTGCTACTATCATGATGTACTCAGGTTTTCTCCTGATATGACCAAAGAATAGATTGTTTCTGATGTGGGTGATCAGTTCTTGTCATAAGTAAATTTTTTTCAAGACATCTTGATTTTTATTTGTATCTGTCTATGAAGTTCTCATTTTTTTGTCTACAGAACTACTTGTAGCATATGCAGGTCCATTCTGGGTAAAGCAGATCCTGAACTCGCCTTAACCTTATTCGTGTTCAATGATTTGTGTACTTAAAGTCAGTGCTATGTGGCATTGGTAGTCATATTGTTTGTGGTCTGTTCACGCTCGGAGGTAGGCAGACAGAAAAGCCACTTATTTTCCAGATTTACAGTATCTATCATGGAATCAAGGCCGAAAGGTTGTGATATCCATAGTACCAAGTCAAAGGGTTTACAACTCATGGTTTCTTGATTATAAACAAAAAAGCCCTTGATGTATCCTTCAAATGGAAGAAGGTATCTTACATCTCGAATTCCTAGGTTTAGGCTTAGACGACAGAAAAACAACATGGCACAAGGGTAGTAACCCATCAATGCTCTGTTCTACTTTAGACCCAAGCCTGAGTCTGAAGAATCTCAGCACACTGTACGAACTCTGTAGCACCGGCGAGGATCCTGAAATACTTTGGGTAGATTTTTAACTCAAAACATTGCCCAGGCAGTGCTGTTAGCTACGCTTTTTTATTTCCAACTTTGATTTTTGTGTGCATGCAACAGTACACACGGGTGTTTGATCTTACTACCCAGAGACCAGATAAAATTACTAGAAGTTTACAAAAAAAAAATCCCAGTTAAAATTCTGATGGTACTAGTAACTGTCTGATTGTATATCGGTCTCACCTTTCCTCTGAATGTGGAGCGTCGGCCAGATTCCCTTGTAACGCTTCACAGTGCCATTCTCGTGTTCTCAAAAAGTGCTGTCAACTCGCATTGGTTCTGTGTGTTTCTGTACAGTTTTTAAAAGATTAACATATGGATATAGTGGAACTTGCTACAAAGTCCTGCCCAACTAGAGCGTGATTGGGCTTTCATTCATGCTTTCTCTTCTGTGACACGGGCTAGTCTATGTTAGAGGGGTTATTAATTACTTATTCAATATTACTTCTTTATTAACCCCCCCCCCCTGTCCAGTGTCCAGGAACAAAAATGGTTAACAGTAAAAAGAAACAATGATCTGTGTAAAATTCTTACTTGTCCCCAGGAATTCCCAGGGTTTCATGGACAATCCCCCCCCCCCTCCCCCCTCCCCCTTTTCCCTTTGTTGTTGTGTGTTTTAAAAATCAGTAATTCTGCAAAGGGTTTATATTCAATTAAATTGATCTTCTTAACCATCCTTGTGATTCTTAGATTTTTTAAGACAATCACCTCTATAGGGATGGTAGGAATAGACCTACTGTGTCTTTAACTTCTATGCCGTAAAAGATGATTGTTTGCAGTAATCAGATATGTCAGGCCGAAAAGCGTAATCATGGCCCAACTACAAACCACAATACAACATGCCAACTGCACTTTTATTGACAGACACATAAAAAGAAAAATTTCATGTTTTAAATTGTTTCAATGGGTTTTGTTCTACTTTCAGGGCATCCTCATACTCCGGCGGGGACAAACTTGGTAAGCCTGTAAGGAGGCTGTCACAGTTGTGCTCCTCTAATCCATTCGATCAATTCCCACTTGCTATAAAAAAGCAGTTATATGGCGAAAGCCTGGGATTGGGTGACTATTCTCTGTTTTCTGTCATTCTCTGATGTTGGAAAATTTGGCGTTGTGTTGGGCACATCCTGTTTCACACAAGTTTTTTTGCTGTGCTTTTTAAACACCTGGTCACTGTGATGCTGTGTGACACTGTTTAAAAAGATGCTGGTCTGTTTTTCTATGTTGCTTTTAAATGCCTTTGACTGTTCTGTTTCATATTGTCGGTTAATTTGGATTTGTCCTGTGTTTTATTTTAGTTAATTTACCATGCTTTCAGTCTTCACAATGCTGCTATATGTTCAGAATAGTTTATTTTTAAACCTGCATTACGTTAATGTTTTAATGTCACTTTGTTTCCAGATTGATTTTTTACTTAGCCCATCATTTTGTCATCATTAGTAAAATATTCCACCTGTGTGTTATGAAGTGGAAGCAAAGAATAGTATAATGTGTTTCAGAAGTTGTGTCCTCTCACTTTAACAAAAATCTTGAAAACACATGGGCTTTAGATTTCCCATGTCCTTATGATTTTATAATTTACAATTGTAAAGCGGCACATTTCTTCGATCTTTGTTTGACAGACAATGTGTCTACCCCTAAAAATAGAATATACAGTAATTGACACATGTATAAAGATTGTTAGGAAATAAATTCCCATGTGCTGCTATGCTTGGTGATTGTTTTGATAGCCTATCCTGCCTACAATGAAAACTTCACAACTCACTGGAGGCTAATGCTGGAGATGACCACCTGAGAGTGGAAAGCCTATGAAATACTTGCAATTGGATATTTTGAAAAGTTCCTTTTACTCAAGTTAACTGTAAGCATGCTGATTGTTTGCTTTCATTCTGTGTCTGTTTTTTCATATACCACAAATTAAACAAAATGAAAACCAAATTTTTGTTTACATTAAAATAAATTCTTGCAAGGACATGATTATTAACAGCATCAAGCATGCCAGATTTCAATAGCTTACACCAAATGTTATTAAGTTACAGATTTTTAGAGTTGGGAATAACTTATGGAACAGACTATAGTAGCATTGTATCCTATCAGACCTGTCGTAACAGGCAGACAAGTTTGGCTTGGATTTTGCTACCTCATTCCATAAAACACTTTAGCCACAAAAACTAGCCATATGAATACAGTAAAACCTTGTTAACACAAACTTAAAAAGAGTACTCAGTTAACATGAACACAATTTTTGTCCCAGCTTGTCGTGACTGATTACTTTCTTCAGTGACAAATTGCAGTATGCATTTGTAGTCGTCACCATGTGGGATGCAATTTTTTGTTATTTGAAGCCCCACCCTGGCTTTTGCCGGGGGCCCTGAATGGGTGATCCATGGGTGATCCTCATCCGCACGGTGGCACTTTGTGTCACATGTGTTTATCGCTTGTGTGATGTCCTGGTGGGGTACAAAAAGCAAGCAAATTGCAGTTCATATGGTGACTCTTTGTGTTGGCACCTCTAGTGACTGTCTTATGCATTTACTGCATGTGTATGCTTCTGGATTTTGCCAGGGCTGACTATTCGTTAGTTTTCAAATGGGACAGTGAAGAGCAGTCTTCGTGATATTCGTTGGCACAGGACCAGACCAGTAATGGGATTACAGTGAAGCTAAAACCTTGGCTACTACTACTTGTTGTTTTATGTGATGTTTGGTTTCATGTAATTTTTTTAGGGATTATTATTATTTTTTTAAGCTCAGAAATAAATTATATGTCTTCTTTGGCATCTTAAGATATAAATCTGACTTTTGCTGTTTTACCAGTGTCCTCTGTTTAGATGGTAACATTTCAGATGGTCTCAGCTTGTGTGCTTTGCTATCATTTTTCACCATGCTTTGGCTGTTTTTTTTTCTTTTCTATTGCACAAACATCACCTTATATCAGCAGTCCCAATTTGGGCTTTTGGCTTCCATTGTGGAGACAGAAGGGGTAGACCCACTGCCCTCCAACAAGCATGTTGTAAAAGTCAACTAATTAGGGGTGTTTCATTCAAAGTATGAGAAAGGTGAGGAGCCAACAGTCTGCATACAAGTAAACCAGATCTGTAAAAGAGATGTGCACAGAAAACTCAAGTTGTGGAACAAGACCAAAGTCCAGAAGTGGTTGAACAACCAGAACTCTCTGCCAGAGTTTACAATCGATGAACACAAAGAAGAAGAAGAATATCTGCACCTACTTGTTGTCCCTAGTACAGTGGCTGCTGGAGCCTTGCAACAACAACAAAAAACACACTAACATCCTAACTGTGCACTTCATGGTGGCTTCACTGGTCATACAGCCTTAACTCTTGCAGTCCCAAGGAACGAATGCATCATACATTCCTAGGTTTCTACCTAGAAACCCAGTGAACGGCAGGAAAGACAACTGTATTTGTTCAGCTTTGTGGTATTTTCTGCATTAATTTAGAATTTAGTGTAAATAGAATAGTATATGCACCACAGCAATCACATTGTATTGAAATAGCATCTTCAAACATCTGTGGCAGAGCTAAGGTTAAATTTAAAAGGAACAACTTCATTGCACCATGTTTTATGCATACGGCTTGGTCTCTCTCTGTAGAACACATATCTGCTTGCTGAGAGCACTGTACAGTGCATGAACACTAGCTACAGTGAAGATCCCCACTTGAACCATATGACGCAGCCATGAAACTACCCCACAACCCTCAGAGCATAAGGCAAACAGTTTCACCACGGGTGCTGTGAGGGCATAGTCATTAGCGTGCCTGCCTGCCAAGATAGTGGTCTGGGTTTGATCCTTATAAGTGACAGGATTGTTTGCATTCAGTATAGCTCTGGTGTTAACCCAATCTAATTAAACAACTGGGTATCAGAAAATTTCAGTAATTGTCTGGGATGAAAGGGTGATAAGGAAGGGTGGTGGTTCGGTCACCCTACCTCACAATGTTGGGAACCAGAATATGTGAAGACCTGACACTTCACATCCCACGAACATAGGCGTGGAAAAGGGACCTTTAAAAAAATATCAGGTACATGAAAACAAAAAAGCATCACCACGGTTTTACTTCCAGGATGTCCCACAAGTTTCCGTATATAGGAAAACTCAACATTTTTTCGATGAAAACCAGTTTTATGTATATCAGAACACGTATAAGCACAAATGGAGTTTTGCGTAAAATGGCGTTGGTGATATGATTTTCCCTACGTATGGCACATCCTGTAGAACTAACTGCACTTGCTTGGGAACTACCTCAGCACACATTTCACATAACTTGTTTTCACGCTGCAGTACAGTCTGTAAACCTTTAAAGTGTCTGATTATTATTCTACTTCACATCATGGTGATATTTGTACAAAACTCCTAGTTATGTGACAGATGCAATGATTTGACATGTAGAGTTTTGTGTTATTCAATGTGAAAGATAGCAATAGCAGAAAAATACTAGTTGCACTAATGTGGTCATATTTGTTGTCACATTTGCATGTAGCAAGTTCTTTGCAGAATGTTCCTCTTCAGAATGTTACTCTTCAGAACATTGCTCTTATCACACAGGAATAATGTTTGATTCCTTTGCCACACACATTCTCGTTGCTTGATGTGTGTTTTTCTAGTGTGTTTTTAAACCAAGGATGTCTTTAATGTTCTGTTTCATGAAGGTTGACCCAGATTTTTTTCCCAGGAGTCTTACCTTTCCTTATGGCTACTTCTGAACCACTCTGTTTCAAATAGCCATAATATTCCATTTGTTTGAGACTGGTATCATTCTGTTGGAGGATTATACGTGCTTATCCAAACTGGACTGTTCTATTCACATTCACCGGTTGTAAACTCCGGTGGAAAGCTCTGGTTATTCATCTGCTTGTGGACTTTAGTTTTGTTCCATAACGTGGTCTTGTTCCATAACTTGAATTTTGCCTGCACATCAGTTTTACAGATCTGGCTAATTTGTATGCAGACTGTTGGTTCCTAGCATCACAGGCAGATGCGTTAGGATTTTAAAGGAAACACCTCAAATTGGTTGCTTTTTATGACATGCTTGTTAGGATGCAGTGGTGGGTGTTAGGATGCAGTGGTGGGTCTATTCATTCTTGCCATAAAACTGGGCCACAGGTTACTTTGTAACTGTCAAGAGCTCTAAGTATAAATGTTCTACAGTTGAACAGGGTCTCAGGGATTTGCTTGCCTCTGTTGGGTTATCACCCAAATAGTAGCTCTTTGCATCACTATATGTTATCTTTCAGAAAGCAGTCCTGGAAAGAGAATCTAAATCTTGAATTTTTTTTAAGGTTAATGTGAGAGGATCGACTTCATTTCACCAGGTTTGATCCCATATGGCTCAGTCTCTCTCCGCAGAACAGCTAGCTGCCTGCCAAGAGCGTCACACAGAGCATGACCTCTGTATCTCCGACAATGATCCCTAGGGATCTCCGTAAAGATTGCACTCGTGAATTGAATGGCGCCGTGGCGAAATGAACCAACGACCTTCAGAGCGCAAAGTAGGAGATGGCTTGACCACTTTGCCACGGAGACCCCTATTGAGTTTTATAATATTAAAGAGTCATTATTGTCTTTTCTGCACTCTCTCAAAAGGGTGGTTGTTGTGTTGTGGTTTACAACCAGGTTGTGACATCAGTACCTTTTGGTCCCATATTCAATTTTAAGAAATCATAATGACTTCACCTCATTGTTTGATCTAGTGTATGCAGAGTTGAACCCCCCAGACACATGGAGTTACCTCTACTTTTTCACCTTCACAAAGGAAATGTTTAATGAACTTGATGACTTTTTTGGGGAAAAAAATTTAGATATTTGGGACAATAAATTTCATGATGATTACTGGATTTAGAATTTTTTTAAAATCTTGAGATTGACATTGCGAGCTATACACAATTAAAATTGTTAGGTTAGAACAATTTTTCAAATTTCTCCATAATTAAATCTTGAGCAGATATAGTTTAAGAATCTGTTGTTCTCTGGAGCTACAGAGTTTTGTACTTTGTACGATGAAAGACTAGAAACCTAGTGTTAATTTTAAACTAATATTTTTTCCTTTGACTATTTAATAGGTATTCGGGGTATCAGGTCTAATTCTGTATCTAATGAATCTCTGGAACACAGCCAGCAGGACAGTAAACCAATGCACAACTTAAAGGACAAAAGGTAGGCCAGTGTCATTTGCATTTTTAAAATGGCTGCAATAATATTTCTAAGAAAACTACATGAAAATTTATCAAAATATTGATTGGCACTCATAGTGAGGAGAGTGGGAAAAATATCAATGAGGTGATCTTCTTTATCATTCCGAGCTCTTGAGATTTATAGCGACAGATATCATCTGCCTCCATTCGTCTATATAATTGGCCTTTTCTTTCCGGTTGTTGACTCCGAGCGTTGTAGGTCCCTATGTATACTATCTCTATACCATCTTCTATACCTGACTTGTGATCTACTCCCATTCCAATCTTTTGTACGCAGTTTTTGTCTTTATTATCTGACATTCTCTCTATTTACCCCAGCCATTGCAGAATATGGTGCCAGCAATTATTGGTGATTCAGACAGATTGTGAATGATGTTGCATCTCTCTCTCTCTCTCTCTCTCTCTCTCTCTTTCTCTCTCTCTCTCTCTCTCTCTCTCTCTCTCTCTCTCTCTCTCTCTCTCTCTCTCTCTCTCTCTCTCTCTCCACTATTTAGTAAGAGGATGAGAGAATACATTGGTAAAATAAGTAAAGAATCCATTCTTCCTCTAGAAGCATAATAGGAACATGGTGTTTACCTCATATTAACTTTGGCATCTGCTGCATCTCAGCACTTCCCAGAAAATGTTCTGGTATCAATTTCAGACTGGGTTGATCTGAAAGGCCCAGTTAATCTTAAGCAAACCAACTAATAGACAAATCTTATGTTGATTTTCAAGTGGCGTATTATTCCTGCCTGGGCTCTGCTGCTCTATTGTGGGTAAAAGTTATACCCAATGCCCCTTTACAAACATGCCGTAAAAGGTTACTTAAGGGGATGAAAAAGGCTTGTTATGCATCAATGATATCTTAAATAAAGGTAATCTATTCTGAATGTTTCTTCTAAATTTTTCGTAAATCATTGATGCCTTGTTGAAAAATATTTGGAAATCATGATCACTATGTAGCAGGTCTTTTACTGAATGTCGCTGTCATCACAGCCTTCCTGAAACAAACTCCGTTTCTTGCCAGCTTTTCCGGCTCCTGTACTTTCATATTCAATGGGTAACTTATATCTTATGCCCATCTTGGTGTTGGTTGGCCCCCGCCCCTCCTTCCTGCTACCATGCCTTCTGCTATTATTTTTCGAATCTGTCGTGGCACTTGATATGACCAAAATATTTCAGCTTTCGAAACATGATGCTTTTTATAAGCCTATCTTCATTGATGTTCAGATCTTTTAAAATGTCAATATTTCTTCTCTTCTTTGTCCATGGTATTCTGTGAATCTTTCTATAGCATTTCAGCTCATTAAGTAGCAGTTTATAGTAATACAGAGCTAGTAGCATATGTCTGATTTGTCTGTCCTATTGGAGAGCCTTGTATGTTTACTAAATGTAACCACAGAACTGTCTTCCTGCATCACATGTGACTTGAGTTTTCACTGCCTAGACATGTTAAGGATGTTATGTTATCACAATCGTCACTGCACATTGGGCATTCCCATGCTTGCTCAGTCCTCCAGTGCAGCAGCCACTTCAAAGTACTTCTACTAATTGTTCCCATGGGAAGCTGGTTATGTTATCTCCTATCTCGGCCTCGAAGACGGCATAGACGTGCTTCACCATGCTTTACTCCCGTGTCACGCAATCGTGTTAGTGCCAGGGATTCCTCATTATCCACTAGCCCAGTCCATACAGCGTTGACGATATCTGCTCTGTCCATGTTAAGGATATTTCTGTGAGAGGCCTCAGCCTAGAGATACGTGGTTTTTATGTACTTTTTGTAACACTAACATTTGCCCATGTGTTATATGGTGATGATTTGAAGCTGATTAGCTCTGCTTTTTTTGGGGGGGGGATTGATATCTTTTCATATTATTTATGTTTAAAAAATCTTGCAATTCTGCCTTGCATTTCAGGCTATATTTGGTACTAGGAGATAAAATACCCTTGGCTGTATGTTCTGTTTTGTCGTATGGTTCCAAGACGGTACAAAGGTAAATAAATGCGCTTTATTAACATTTTTTTTAACTTTATTATTTTATAATTTTGCCATCACTAAAGGATTGTCAATTCTGATTTAATGCCTTGTAGTTTATAAATGTTCAAGAGTCTTTAGAAACATACCAGATCTTGTTCTAATCTGTACAAGCAAGTAATGAAAAAGTGGTTACAAATAATTTAAATAAAGAATGTTAGGCTAAGGCGGTGTTTCCGAAACTCTTCTTGGTCGCGGCGCCTTTTTTTTAAATAAAACTTTTTCCACGGTGCCCTAACCTAAGTAGAAGCATGACTATTCCTGTCTTGGTTAAATTAATTATGAAGCTTTTACAATTATTTCGTGGCGCACAGTTTGGGAATCACTGGGCTAAGGAATAAATAAATGGATCAAGAGTTGACATCACTGCACCTAGGGAAACTTCTAATGTGTGTCTCTTGATCACTAGTCAGTAGTGAGTTCCCACATTAAGAGAGCATCTATAAATGTCAGATATAACTTGGAGACGTGATAAATCGTTGGCACCTTTTCATCTTTCCAGACAATTGTGTTATATTGTGCTATGGGGAGGCATAGGACTCAGTACCTGGGCGAAGGAGAGTGTGACTAGCAAGACCCGCCGGCGTTAAGAAAAGTCTTTCACAATTACAGCATGAGATTTCAGGACCATTATTGTCAACATTTGTATTTAATGTGGTTCTTCCCAGACACACAGCTCTCAACTTTTTTGCAATTAAGACATAAATACACATTTTTGTTCACACTAGAGGTAATTTGCACAAAGTTTTCACACTATTGGTAACCTGGCACAAAGTTACCTCAGGTTCAACCTTTTCAGTACTAATTAACTCACTATATGTCTACCTTTTATTATTATTGCTGTTGCTTTTCTAAACACTTTCTTTCCCATGTTATGTTATGTTACTACAAATGCCGTCTTTGCACATTAGGCATCCTCATGCATGCACAGCCCTACGATGTAGCAGCCACTCCAAGGTACCTCAACTGATTGTTCCAATGAGGAGTTGGTTATAATATCTCCTGTCTTTACCTCGAAGACGGCATAGACTTGCTTCACCAAGCTCAATTCCTCAGTTACTTAGTGGTGTTAGCATCAGAGATTCGCCATTACCCCCCAACCTTGTCCATACAGCGTTAATGATATCAGCTCTGTGCACATGTAACTAGTAGTATTAAAACATGGTATTCTGAATGTTACTGAAACATTTTTGTCCCTTAACATTATTATTTAACCCCTCTGGGTCTGACTATTATTTACTGTACGCACATAGCTCAGGAATCAATGAGTGATACCTGACCGGAACTAAATGAGTTAAAAAGCTCCATCAAACATGCCTTTCAGCAGTTTAATAATGAAATGAATGAGATTTCTTGAAAGAGCTGCAGGAGTAACAAGAAGAGATAAAATAAAACACGAAGGAATGAGAAGTCTGGGAGTGAAACTAGTCCCATAATATACTAAAGAGCAAAAGATGAGATGTTTGGCCATCTGACAAAAATGTACTGGTACAAACTTCTACAGAGTCACAGCGAAGAAGTGTAATTAACACTCTTGAAGACTACACAACACATGGAAAACGATAACATCAAGAATAACAGTAAAGTAAAGATCCCTTTTTACACCTTAGGCGCATCGGGCATATGGGAAGAGCACTTATATTTTTACAGACCATTCGGCACTAAGTGGGTATTGTGGTCAGCATTACGCTAGCCGTCTTTGCTTCCCCAGGACATACATCCTGGTATCTATTTTAGGCTGGGTCGATCTGCGACGCCCCATACCATGATACAAATCTGATATCAAGAATAGCCTTAAAGAAATTAAGATCAGCTTATACAGTGCATTAGAAAGAGCCTATGGAAGATATATTCATCCCCTTCCTGCGCTTCGAGAGGAGGAGAAGCATGAAGAATCACATTTGTAACTGTTTTTATTGCATTTCTAGACCAGAAGAAGAGGGGCATACACGGCATCTGGCTGGACATTCTGGGTCGAAGTCCCACCCTCCCCAAGAAGCGACTGTCTTTATGGGCCTTCAGCATGGCTTTAAACAAGAAGAGGTACATTTTATTGTTCTGGTCTGTATTGCTTGCTGACCCTAGTGTGTGTGTTCTGTTATAGACAGACAACTGTTTCTCTGTACCAGTGGTTTTCAACCTGTTTTGGGTGGGGCCTCCTTGAATGAATGGCAGACTCCTTCCCCTGACTTCAAGAAAAATGTATATTACAATTTTTTTTTTTTAATCCCTAAGCACTATTGACAAGAACTTAGAAATGTGAAGAAAAACATAAATCAATGTCAGATAACATAACGTCCTTGTCTTTTAATAAAAAATGGTTTTTATTTATAATTAATCTGAAAAAAAAATGTTAGCACGACAGATTATTGCAAGTATAAATGAACTCGAATTTCAGAATAGCTTGATGCCCCCCCATGCCGGAACTGCTTTCCACTCCCTGGTTGAAAACACTCTCTGCCTTGTAAACTTGTTGTTTTACTAATAAAAAGTAAAGAAATAAGTAAAGGATTCTTTTTTGTGTCTGTGCCAGTGGCGCATTGGGCATGTGATGCCAAACCCGTTTTTTTTAAAATGCCAGGTGGCACTTGGTAGGTGATACTGCAAACATCATAGACGCTGTCTTTGTTTTACTTCACAGTACATTACCTAGCACCCATTTTAGGCTGGTTCGACTTGGGAACTAGAAGTCACTTTACGTATTATGCTAGGTGTGACAATGAGAGATGTTTAGTTTAGTTGACGGATCATCAGGGCACACGAGTTTAAACGCATAAGTGCTCCATTCTTCTTCTGACTCAAGCCTGAGTCTGAAGAATCAGCACAGTGAGAGGATCCTGAGAGATTGACTTAGGAACAATGATGTCAGGAGGAGAGATAGTACAGAACCAATACTGAGCTCGACCGACATCAGATCAAATGGTTTGGCCTTGTTACAAAACTGGCAACAGACAGGGCACCACAGAGAACAGTGTTATACAGATGCAGCGGTAACAGAGCCAGAGATTGAGCATGCAGAAAGTGGACCGGGAAAATATTGGAGACAATGAAAAGTACTGTATACAAGGTGGACAGGAGGGCCAGTTGCACAGATCTCTTCCGGCCTTGATGCATTCCAGGAGTAGAGAAAAGAAGAACTATCTCCACACCACAAGTTCCGAAGGTCTTAGTTGTAGTCTTAGTCAAGGTTTCAACATCAGTGCATTAGGGTTTCCCCATATTTGTTCCGTTCCTGTGCCAGTGCAAATCAAACGAAATGTCCCTCACTGTCGCACTTGAAAAACTGGTGAACAAACAACTAGTCCCCGAACAATCCAGAAATATGTGCACGCAATAAATGCACATTTCAGTTACCAGAGGTGCTATAGCCAACAATCGCCACCAGAAATTTAGTTTGTCGTTGATGGAAGTAGATGGGCACGATAAATTGGTTACTAAACACACATAGAATTATTACAACAGGTATTTCACCAGCTGACATGTAAACCAGCTACCGGCCATACTGAATACCATGACATGAAAGCTGCACAAATAAAAGGCATTCCACATGAAAAACACAGCTCACAGTGCTGCACCAAGCACTAAAATCAGGCAGCGAAACCATAGACTACCGTCCTTATGTGGAAACTGCATTAGTAAAGCGCTGTCGGAAGCAAAACTAACTTCGAAGTTTAACATTCTGCCAAGCATTACCTCCATTGTGGCCAGAAGTTCCAAAGGCGAGAGGCCTCAATTAATGACAGCCACCCAATTTTGTTTTCCAGTTGTTATGCTACAAATAATATCATAAATCCTATCTTGATTTCATGAACATTGTCTTTGCTTGTTATAATAGTATTGTGTCCTTGTCATGATTGCCAACAGGAGGTGTCCTACAGCCGTTTCCTTGTGGCCTCACAAAGAAAAAGTGTCAAAAGAGATAAAGGAAGCAGTGACCAAAAGGACCAGATACCCAGCAGTAAGTTAATCTTATAATTTGATTTCAACCCTGTTCACTGTTTTATCTGTCTCTGGTATAGTAGCAAGAGCATTCACCTGTCATCCTGGGCAGGCTCTTTTATATACAGTAGAAAGGTCCACCAACACAATTTTAACACGTGGAAAGGTGAACTTTTTGTTGTTGCAATAAACAGAGGGCCTCAGCAAAGAACAACAGATTAGGTGGTTTCAGTGAGTATGCTCAGGAAGACAGAGATAGGCTGGGTCTGAAGACAGTGGTTGGTGTCTCTGAGGCAGTCAGGGCTGACAAAAAATCTGTTTTCACTTTCATGCCAGGGCACGCAGGTATGCAAGACAATAGGCACGCTGATAGGCTTGCAGGTGAGGCTAGTGTTGCAGGATGGAAGAGCCATGCGCCAGGCTTAAGGCTCTATGAGAAGTAATATATTTGCGAGAATAAAGTGATTGTGTGTCCCCCCAGCCGTGACCGGACTGCAAGAAGAGCAAGTTAAAAGACGTGTATAACAAACCAGTGCTCTCTCTACTTGACCACGCCTGAAACTTATTGACAGTGTTGTGATAGTTCCATATTTTCATAGGTCATCAGATACTTGTTGGGTGAAGTGGTCAGTATTGCACTGACAGTCTTCAGTTTCCAGAACAAATACTGTTATCTATTTGAGACTGGCTTTTCCCATGTGGGTTCCGTGGCTCCAGTTTTGGAGCTAAAGAAGAGACCTAATAACATAACAAAAAGTTGAATGTCCTTAACATGATGTTGCAGAACCATCTCCAGCCATTATTGGCTGTTGAGGTTTTCTAGGCAGATTTACTTTAAGTAATTTGCCATTGCTTTCCCCTAACAAACACGTGAAAGTCAACTGATTGGTAGTGTTTCCTTTGAAATCTGAGTGCATCTGCCTGAGAAGCGGGGGGAGCAACAGGTTGCATACAAAATAGCCAGATCTGTAAAGTGGACTTACATGCAGCACTCAAGTTTTAGAATAAGACCAAATTCCATAATTGGACCAACAGCCAGAACTACTTGCCTGTACTTACAGCCTGTGAACACAGAAGAAAACTAGCTCAGTCTAGGAGTCCCCATCATTCGAACAATATCCAGCATAATGAGGATTTAACATGTGATCCCCTGGCAGGCTTGCATACTTGCCACTGGGCTACTGGAGCTCTCCTCTCCAACAATAAAGGACCCTTTTCCGTGCCTTGAGGTATGTTGTGCATATAGTGCTTGACCTAGATTTTATAGCCCAGTTGGCACTTGATGAATGATGTTGTCAACAACATGCCAGCCATCTTTACTTCCCAGGACTTTACCTGGTACCTATTTTAGACTGTGTCGACCTGGGAGCCAAGGTTATTTCTGAAGATAGTCCGGCTTCATTCGGATTTGAACCCATTGTCTTGGGATTTCAAGGTGAGCATCTAGCCACCACACCATGGTGACTACCAGCCTCTCCAACAGTAATGCTCTTTACAAACCTCTGGAGATTTATGTGTACATGCAGGTCACGAATCATCCCATAGTGTGCAGCATGAGCACGGCCCATCCCCCTGGCAGAGGCATTCTCAAACCATCCAGAGACACAGCAATCTAGAGACAGGTAGTGTTCTCTCCTTTTTGTGTGTGCCTATTTTCAATGTTCTGTAGTGTAGGAGACCTCTAAACCAGTGATTCCAGGTTAGATAAGACCCTGGACCCCCCCCCCCCCCACCGCCAAAGATCTGCCACGTACCTCGTACCTCGAAATAAAAATCAAAAGTAATTCTTCTTCTTTNTTTTTCCCTTTTGAATTGAGGCACTGCCTGGGAAGCGGGGGGACAAAGGTTGCAACAAATACCAATCTGAAAAGTGGACTTAAATGCAGACTAAGTTTTAAATAGACCAAATTCCAAAATTGCCCACCAGAACTACTTGCCTTACTCAGCCTTGCCGAAAGAAAACTACCACTGGGATCCCCTATTCGAACAATACCGCAAAATGGGTTTTAAAACAGTGACCCCCGGGCAGCTTGCATTTGCCACTGGCTACTGGGCTCTCCCTCCAAATAAAGCCCCTTTTCCCGGGCCCTTTGAGATTTTGCATTGGCTTGACCTAGATTTATAGCCATTGGGCCTTTTGATAAAATGATGTTGAAACAACGCCACCTTTTATTTTCCCGGATTTTACCTGGTACCTTATTTTAGACTGGTCGCCTGGGAGCCATTATTTCTGAAGATACCCCTTCATTCGGTTTTGAACCCATGTCGGGGATTAAGGTGGCACTCCCCCACCCATGGGATACCACCTCCCCAAGTTGTTTTTAAAACCCCGGGAATTTATGTGAATGAGGTCACAACATCCCAATTGCCATGAGCACGGCCCACCCCCAAAGGGCTCTCAAACCCCCAAAAAAACCCCAATCTGGACATGTTTCTCCTTTTGGTCCCTTTTTCAATTTTGTATGTGGGAGACCTCTAAACCATTTCCGGGTTGAAAAGACCCTGGCCCCCCCCCCCCCCCCCACCGCCAAAGTCTCCACGACCTCTCCCTCGAAAAAAAAAATCAAAGTAATTCTTTTTCTTTTTGTTTCCCACTTTACCAGGTAAAATTTTCGGTTGTTCGCCCACCCGGGATTTTGGTCTTTTCCAAAACCTGAGTTGCATGACATCACACTTTGATGGATTTATTTTTTTCAGTTGTTTTCCTTATTGGGGCAGAGCACCCCGATTTTAAAGGAAAGTTCCTTTATAAACTCTTCAACATCTTGTTGGGGGGGCGGGGGTTTAATTCTTGTTTCCTCCCGGGGGTTCCCAGGACCCCATGGGGGAAAATAAAAAAATATTAAATCTTTAAAAAAAATCACCAATGTTTCAAAACCCCACACATAAGAACCCCTAACCCTGAAAATTTTTTGACCTCTGGTGTTTTAAACAGCGGGCAGGTTTGAAGGTCTCGAGTGGCTTGGACCAACAAAAAAATAGGGGGGGGCCTGCGTGAGCTGGTCCAGCGCTGTCCAAGTGGGAAGGTTTCTCATTCCTTGTAGGTCATTGTGTCTGAATTGTCTGCCATGTTCCTCGGCCACTCGAACAAAAGTCCAACCTGTGTCCGTATCCATCGAGCTTTGTCGCTCGGGTCTCGTCCAGGTCATGCAGACTGCGCATTATGCTACCGCGCGCTTTCTATCGCCAGTACCTTCTGCAATCATGATTCGTCTTGTCCCTATCCGAACAACAGCCGTAAATTTCGGCATCGGGGAAACCAACCCTGAGCTTCATGACTCAGGTGGGCCCACTCTCCTGGAAAAACGTTCGGAGCTCGGTGGGCTGAAAACGGTTTGTCGACTAGAGATTACTTCTACTGACGATTGGTAGATCCCTGCTGTACATGCTCCCCTGTGGAGTTTATTCCTATATATTTAGATAATTGTGTTATCAGCTCTTTGCTATCAATATTAAACATGGACATTGTTTTCAGAAAACAGAAGAACGTCACGTTAGAAGTGAAATATTTGTGTATCATGTTAGTTGTAACAATCGACGGGAATGATAATATCAGGAGGTATTGAACCAATATTGAACTTTATCGGTTGACAATGAATAAATGGTTTTTCCATGTAACAAGATTGGCAACAGAGAGGGCACTCACAGACCATTGTTATACAGATACAGTGGTAACAGAGCTGGAGGTTCGATCACACATAAATATTGGACACACTGCTTTGTACTATGTATGAACAAAAATGCCCGTTACTGATATATCTTCCTGCCTTGACACAGCGAGGCATTCCAGGAGTAGAGAAGATTAAGAAAACTAAATGAACTATACATATAAATTCCTGGGCTATTGGTTGTTTCTGAACACCTTGAAACTGCCGCTAATTATGTTTTGTAATGATGTGATTCTCTAGTGCAAGAGGACACCAGCGATGCCTACAATGCCAACAAGCTAGATGATCCAGATTTACAATCTGGCAGTTACAGAACTGAGCTGACGTTCAAATCTTACTTGGTTTGTGCTTTTTCTTGTAATTTTTATCTACCACAGTCTAGTAACTTTAAAAAAAAAAAGATTTCCTCTTTTCCTTTTTAGTTTCAATATAGCTGCTGCTTCTTAAATTACAAGCCCTGTGGTGTTGGTAGTCATATTTGTCCATCGCTTTCTGTCTCTTCTACTTTCAGTCAGTTCTCAAACAGATGATCCTTCAGGCCTTGATGTGTCCAGCATCTTTTCTCTCGGCCTCCCTCTGCCTCTCTTCCTCTCCAACTTTCCCACTATTACAATGTACTTCACTTTTCTCCTTCTCATGACATGACCAGAGGATGTAGATTGTCTCCAAGTTTTGCATACTCCACAGCTCTTTTGTGGAAATATCTTCTACAACAAATCAAAAATACCACTAGATCCTATACATACAGTCGGAAACATCTCGAATATTATCTGAGCACAGATTACATGCCTCCTTAGAAGATAACAAATATATTTGGAAATAGCCAATATTTTCCCTAGATTTATTACAGTAACTACGGTTTACTGTAGTTAGAAATCTGCACATTCCAGTGCTTGTATTGGATATTTTGATTCTATTGATGTTTACTTTGATGTGTAAATGAAATGATGAATGGAAAGAGGGAGACTAGAATAGCAGAATGTTAGACGGGCTAGTATATATTAACTGGGTACATGTAACAATATTCTCCCCCCGCTCCGGCCATATACACACTAGTTCACTTTTGATTTGTAGTTCCTGAACCTGTCACCTTGGCGCAAGGTTAAGGGGTGTGTTCTGCAAGGCTGTTGATATCACATGTTGTATATTTCAGCACGCCAGTGCTTTTAACACTCCAAAAACATGGAGAAACTGGCCCTATCACAACCCCTCTAGAGAGTGCTGCAACAGGCATTCTCTTTCTCGGAATGAAAATATATATGCAAAACAACACAGAAAGCAAACAGTAGAGTGGGACACACCTGTAACCTTCAGAAAAGTCAACTAGCCCAACAAACTTGTGAATGAAAAGTGACCTACTTTGTTAGGAGAAATTTACGTGAACATAACCATTAACTGTATTTGTTGTGAATCACAGGAATGGTTTATATACTTTTTTTAAGATGATGAATAAGTTGTGTTAGGTGTTATTGAATATAACAGGTATTTCTGTTTCTTCTAAATGGAGACTTCAATCATTGACTATGTGAAGCCATCGATGCTGAAGAAAGAATTGAATGAAAAATTCCGAGAAAGATTCCCCAACATCCAGTTGACCCTGTCCAAGCTCAGAAGGTATGTTTAAATGTTGATCACCAGCTTAGATGAGCCTCTGTTGCTTCCATGTTTGTTTTTTCTGATATTGTTGAATCATAGTTGAAAATATGGCCTCTCCTGCTGTTATCCTTATTAGTCAGTCAGTCAGTCAGATGCCCTGCCCTGTGGTCAGAATATTTGTCTCTCTTTTAAAAAAAATATCTTTCCGAACATTTTATTCTCATTATCAGTATATTCCACACCTCTTTTTTGTTGTTTCAGCACGTCTGAATTTTGTTGTTTCAGCTTGTCTGTATTTAGTTGTTTCAGCTTGTTTGTATTTTGTTGTTTCAGCTTGTCTGTATTTTGTTGTTTCAGCACGTCTGTATTTTGTTGTTTCAGCACGTCTGTATTTTGTTGTTTCAGCTTGTCTGTATTTTGTTGTTTCAGCACTTCTGTATTTTGTTGTTTCAGCACCTCTGTATTTTTTTGTTTCAGCAAGTCTGTATTATGTTGTTTCAGCACCTCTGTATTTTGTTGTTTCAGCAAGTCTGTATTTTGTTGTTTCAGCAAGTCTGTATTTTGTTGTTTCAGCAAGTCTGCATTATGTTGTTTCAGCAAGTCTGTATTATGTTGTTTCAGCAAGTCTGTATTTTGTTGTTTCAGCAAGTCTGTATTTTGTTGTTTCAGCACCTCTGTATTTTGTTGTTTCAGCAAGTCTGTATTTTGTTGTTTCAGCAAGTCTGTATTATGTTGTTTCAGCAAGTCTGTATTTTGTTGTTTCAGCAAGTCTGTATTTTGTTGTTTCAGCAAGTCTGTATTTTGTTGTTTCAGCACCTCTGTATTTTGTTGTTTCAGCAAGTCTGTATTATGTTGTTTCAGCAAGTCTGTATTTTGTTGTTTCAGCACGTCTGTATTTTGTTATTTCAGCACGTCTGTATTTTGTTGTTTTGTCTTCTGTATAACTACATTTCCAGTGGCTCAATTTGATTTCCTAGTGGTTTCTTCAATGTCGAGGATTCTTCACCAGACAGTATGTTTGAGCATACATAATATTTAACAATTCTCACTTTTTATATGTTATATCTGGTGTCAATAACTTTTATATTTTCTTGAAGAAATTGCTAGCCAGTCATATTGTCTTTTTAATTTCTGTTTCACTTCTGCTATGGTATTGTGTACCAAAAATAGGAGAAACTTGTTATTGATCCCTTGAGGAATGCAATTTTTCCTTGTTTGAAGCCCCACCCTGACTTTTGCCTGGGGCCCTGAATATAGCCATAACGACTGAAAGGAGTTTCTGGGACCTCTCCACGGGTGATCCTCATCCGCATGGTGGCCCTTTGTGTCACCAGGTGTTTATCGCTTTTGTAATGTCCTGGTGGGGTACAACAAGAGAGAGAGAGAGATAGATAGATAGAGAGAGATAGAGAGAGAGAGAGAGAGAGAGAGAGAGAGAAACTTGTTACTTGTACTAATATTTCCCTATTTACTGTGATGCTCTCTGTTGGCTGCTCTTGAATCATTTTGAATCATTATCGAGGGCCTTACTGACTGGCGTTGGCAATCATGCCTCTCCATAATCTGCGATCTTCAACAACGTGTATTCATGTGCTGACACAGTGACATACAATGACAGAAGGTTCTCAAGAATCTTATTGCGTTGTTTTCCTCTTCCTCTTTTCACCCCAGATCTTTCCAGTGGTCACAACATGTGCTGGTTTCTTTCTCACATCATGACCAACAATTGTTGACTCTCTGATTTTCACCAGATCAGCATTGCTGGTAAAATGACTATTGTTGCTGCTGCTGTTACCATGATGTCAGCATTGCTGGTAATATCACTACTGTTGCTGCTGCTGTTACCATGATGTCAGCATTGCTGGTAATATCACTGTTGTTGCTGCTGCTGTTACCATGATGTCAGCATTGCTAGTAATATCACTATTGTTGCTGCTGCTGTTACCATGATGTCAGCATTGCTGGTAATATCACTAATGTTGCTGCTGCTGTTACCATGATGTCATCATTGCTGGTAATATCACTACTGTTGCTGCTGCTGTTACCATGATGTCATCATTGCTGGTAATATCACAATTGTTGCTGCTGTTGTTACCATGATGTCAGCATTGCTGGTAATATCACAATTGTTGCTGCTGCTGTTACCATGATATCAGCATTGCTGGTAATATTACTATTGTTGCTGCTGCTGTTACCATGATATCAGCATTGCTGGTAATATCACAATTGTTGCTGCTGTTGTTACCATGATGTCATCATTGCTGGTAATATCACTACTGTTGCTGCTGCTGTTACCATGATGTCAGCATTGCTGGTAATATCACTATTGTTGCTGCTGCTGTTACCATGATGTCAGCATTGCTGGTAATATCACTGTTGCTGCTGCTGTTACCATGATGTCATCATTGCTGGTAATATCACTGTTGTTGCTGCTGTTACCATGATGTCATCATTCTGGTAATATCACTATTGTTGCTGCTGTTACCATGATGTCATCATTGCTGGTAATATCACAATTGTTGCTGCTGCTGTTACCATGATGTCAGCATTGCTGGTAATATCACAATTGTTGCTGCTGCTATTACCATGATATCAGCATTGCTGGTAATATCACTATTTTTGCTGCTGCTGTTACCATGATGTCAGCATTGCTGGTAATATGACTATTGTTGCTGCTGCTGTTACCATGATGTCAGCATTGCTGGTAATATCACTATTGTTGCTGCTGCTGTTACCATGATGTCATCATTGCTGGTAATATCACAATTGTTGCTGCTGCTGTTACCATGATGTCAGCATTGCTGGTAATATGACTATTGTTGCTGCTGCTGTTACCATGATGTCAGCATTGCTGGTAATATGACTATTGTTGCTGCTGCTGTTACCATGATGTCAGCATTGCTGGTAATATGACTATTGTTGCTGCTGCTGTTACCATGATGTCAGCATTGCTGGTAATATCGCTGTTGTTGCTGCTGCTGTTACCATGATATCAGCATTGCTGGTAATATCACTATTGTTGCTGCTGCTGTTACCATGATGTCAGCATTGCTGGTAATATAACTATTGCTGCTGCTGCTGTTACCATGATGTCAGCATTGCTGGTAATATCGCTGTTGTTGCTGCTGCTGTTACCATGATATCAGCATTGCTGGTAATATCACTATTGTTGCTGCTGCTGTTACCATGATATCAGCATTGCTGGTAATATGACTATTGTTGCTGCTGCTGTTACCATGATGTCAGCATTGCTGGTAATATCACTATTGTTGCTGCTGCTCTTACCATGATATCAGCATTAGCTGGTAGATCTGTAATTTAACCACCAAACAGATTAAGGCCAGTATTTTGTTAAATGAAATTTCTGCGACAAATCCTAAATGTTAAAAAAAAAAAATGGGAGAGAGATGATGAAAAATTACAATTGTTGTTGTTAAGAAGAATGCAGAGTGTAGCCAAAAAAAAAAAAAAAAAAGTGAAATCGTTGTCACCAGAACAAGACAATTATAAACTTAGAACATTTAGACATAGTCAGGTTTTTTTGGTTTTTTCAAAACATGCTACGAGAAAGAGTGGACTTAAGAATTTGGTAACGACTGGTAAGATTGATGGAAAGAGAGCAAACAAAAGATAAATATCAGAATGGTTTCACCACGTGGATGGCGAGTTACAAGAACATTGATCTGATCTGTTATTCTGGTGATCATTTGAGATGGCAAAATATGGCAGCCTACTTTCACCAACATGGCTAATGATAAAGATGTTGTTCTGCGAAGGACTTGCTACATAATGATTGGGGCGATGTATACATGAGGTGAAATATTTTCTGTAATTTTTGAACATATATTGTTTCAAATCTTCCTTGCAGCATAAAGAGAGAGCTGTACCAGATTGCACATGTTAAGGTTAGTATGATGCAATATTGTATTATATAGATCATCTGTTTTTGTTCTTATGTTAAATTAAAAATATCATCTATTTCTGTTCTTATGTTAAATTAAAAATATCACCTATTTATGTTCTTATGTTAAACATATCACCTATTTCTGTTCTTATGTTTAATTTAAAAATCACCTATTTCTGTTCTTATGTTTAATATATCACCTATTTCTGTTCTTATGTTTAATATATCACCTATTTCTGTTCTTATGTTTAATATATCACCTATTTCTGTTCTTATGTTAAACATATCACCTATTTCTGTTCTTATGTTTAATATATCACCTATTTATGTTCTTATATTTAATATATCACCTATTTCTGTTCTTATGTTAAACATATCACCTTTTCTTATGTTAAACATATCACCTATCTCTGTTCTTATGTTTAATATATCACCTATTTGTGTTCTTATGTTTAATATATCACCTATTTCTGTTCTTATGTTTAATATATCACCTATTTCTGTTCTTATGTTTAATATATCACCTATTTCTGTTCTTATGTTTAATATATCACCTATTTCTGTTCTTGTGTTTAATATATCACCTATTTCTGTTCTTATGTTTAATATATCACCTATTTCTGTTCTTATGTTTAATATATCACCTATTTCTGTTCTTGTGTTTAATTTATCACCTATTTCTGTTCTTATGTTTAATATATCACATATTTCTGTTCTTATGTTTAATATATCACCTATTTCTGTTCTTATGTTTAATATATCACCTTTTTCTGTTCTTATGTTTAATATATCACCTATTTCTGTTCTTATGTTTAATATATCACCTATTTCTGTTCTTATGTTAAACATAAATATTTTTAAAAATTACCCTTTTCAAAATTTGTGTTAAAAAAGAGGTTTGAGGTTTGAACAGCGTATCAACATCATGGCACACGAGTAGTAACCCATAAGTGCTCCGTTCTTCTTCTAACTCAAGTCAAAGTCCAAAGAAGCTTAGCACAGTGCACAGGCTCTGTAGCACCGGCGAGGATCCTGAAATACTTTGGGTAAATTTCTAACTCCAAATTTTTTGGCTGGCAGCGCTGTTAGGCTACTCTTTTTCGATTTCCGACTGCCAAGTGATTTTTTACGTGCGAAACAATGCCCACGGGCGTCCGATCTCACTACCCAGAGACCAGGGGGAATTACTAGAAGTCCAAGTCCACGTGAAAAAATCCCAGCTCTTGCCTGGAATTTGGAGTCCTGGTAAGTTTTTGTAAAAATCCAAGTGGGGTTGAAACCTTTGACCTCTGAGCAGACAGGTAAACATGCCTGCTGTTGTCACTGTGGCTCCAAAGTCATTAACTAGAGGATTTTTTTCATATTTAGAATCATTATTTTGCGCAAAGTTTTTTTTTTTTTTTTTTCAAATGAAAGGAAAGAATCACTAAACACAAACTAAGCAAAGAAATAACTGTTTTTCTTCCCTTTGACCAAGAAAACAGGAGTTTTGTTGTCGACACAGCCACACAGAGCATGACCCGGGCATCATAAAAAAGGCCCCCCACCCCCCACCGTAAACAATATCTCAAAAAAGAAAAAAAATATTTGGGTGAAAATATAATTATACCCAACACGTCTGCACACTGAGCAGCTGCAACCTTTACCAAAGCGGTTGTGTGTGTGTTGTCCATCAAGATGATGATGATGACCACTCTTTTTCATCAAGTATGGGTACGAAGATGACTGATGAGGCCGATGCGGGCCCGAAAAGTTCTTGGACTGTGAGGACAGGGAATGAGTGTTGTCCCAGGAAGGGGATCTCCTTCAGTCGCCTTTCTGTCCATCCTTTTCTTAGTCTTTCTGTTCTGTTTGTTTCACATGTAGTCGCACCTCTGTGTTGAGTTGCACGCCCTGCATTTCGGTCTTGAGAGGCAGCCTCCCAATTGGTGTCCTTCATCCCAAATGCTTTGAATGAAGACTTTAAGGTGTCCTTAAAGCGTTTCTTTTGCCCGCCTTAGGAACGTTTCCCATTTTGCAGCTCACCATAGAAGAGTTTTTTTGGGAGCCTGTGATCTGGCATGCGTGCCACATGACCAGCTTAACTAATTTGATACTGCATCACTAGAGTGTGGATTTTGGGCATGGCTGCTTTCTCAAGGACTTTGATATCAGGTACTTTGTCTTGCCATCTGATCTGCATTAGTTTTCTAAGGCAGACTGTGTGAAAGTGGTTTAACTTTCTGGCCTGGCGCTGGTATATAGTCCTTTTCACATGCGTACAGCAGTGTAGCTAATACAACTGCTCTGTATACTTTGAGCTTTGTCTGCAGTGTTATGCTACTTCTGTTCCAAACATTTATGTACAGTTTGCCAAAGGCAACGCTAGCCCTTGCTAGATACTTGCATTCACTTCATCATCAATTGTGGCGCTCTGTGAAAGAGTGCTGCCTAGATAAGTAAATTTCCTGACAACATTTAATCTGTGGCCATTCACTGTGACACTGGGCTCGATGTATCTTTGCCCTGGGGCTGGCTGGTGCATGGCTACAGTTTTATCTTTGTTGATGGTGAGCCCAAAGTTTGTACAGGCATCACTGACTTTGTTGATGTTGTGTTGCATATCCGCTACCAAAGCTGTTATATAGGCACATTGGCCACCAGCCATAGACATTCTATCATCAAAAACTGGTAAAAGTAGGAAAGCTAGCTTTCTTGGAATGGCAGAGTTGATGTTTGTTTCTTCAGTAATATTACCAGTGCATTGATGGCATTTGTTTCTCCTCTGCAGTGTTCTATAGATTTATGGACGGTGGCACAAGCTTATGTTTTCTTTGAAAAAATTGTATTGAAGGTAAGATTTGAGTTCTAGCAAGTTTTTCATATCTCAGCCATGTAGTAACAGTTTCAGAAAGGAAACAGAGATTTAAGAGAGAGAGAGAGAGAGAGAGAGAGAGAGAGAGAGAGAGAGAGAGAGAGAGAGAGAGAGAGAGAGAGAGAGAGAGAGAGAGAGAGATAGAGAGAGAGTACGAAACACTGAAAATATTTCCAACATTGTAATCAACTATTTTTGGCGGAATCTGTCGTCGCCTGGAGATCCCCTATATCCTTCCAAATAACTTACCGGGCTCTAATTAACTAAGTCTAGGGGAATTATAACGGTCCCTGAGTTCTGGAAAATAAAGGAAGGAAAATACAGAAAGTTAAATGAATAGGGTGAATCCCCGGAAATTTCCTAAAGAAATTCAGAAACTACCAAAGTCAATACTTTATAAATTTAACTCAAATAAATTGCAATGAACAATCTTTAGTCTACCTAAGAAGTAAATTTGATACGATGAAATCGATAAATGGAGTTTCTAAACAACAACTGTATTGATAAATACTGATATGGAATTCAACGATTTTCAAATTAACAAACAAAAGAAAAATTACTGAATCATCATTACACCCAAAATAAATGTTCACTGAATAGAATTTTTCACTCAGCTTTAGGCAAGTCTTGATGAGCTGAAATGTAGTTTCCTTTGGAGGAATGTCCACTGATAAACCGGCAATCAGGAATACGGTTCACGTTCCTCAAGCAACTATGCAAACAGGCCAACCGGAATACGGGATTACGGTCCTCTGGTAACCAGGCAAGCAGGAATACGGGAAAACGTTCCTCAAGCAACTAGGCAAACAGGCCAACCGGAATACAGGAATACGGTCCTCTGGTAAACAGGCAAGCAGGAATACGGGAACACGGGAACCTGCGGAATACATCATTCAGCCCTGTGTTGAGCATTATGTCGACACATCTGGGGCAGGTGGAGGTGTTGCGGTGTCTGTGGTGTTTTTCAGAGTCAAAACGGAAAGAGCAAGGTTCATGTGTTGTCTTTCTCTACAAGTAAATCAAAATTATACATCTCCACCCTATTATAATATGTTGGTTTATACCTATCTAATTTATTGCACGATCATATGAAACGTGACATAGTTAAGTGAATACACTCTCGCCTGTGAATTGGACAGTCATTAGTTCAGGTCCCAATAGACCCAGGTCGACTTCGCCTTAAACGGACAACAGGTATAGTAATGGGGAGTAAAGGCGGCAGGTGTGATGTTAACCACATCAACACCCAGGTAGCAATTGGTCTATAACACATAGGCCAACCCTATATGCCCACAAAGCTGACGACTTTCACTCAAATTATGTGTTGCATAATATAATAACATAAACAATGTAATGTATACCCAACTGATGATACCACATGGCACATGATAATGGTTTCTACTATAAGATCTTTACGCAAGTAGACCGAATGACTATAAGAGTGACAGAGGGAAGAAGGGTTCGCTATTGTATAGTCCTAACTGTGAATAGTAGCCTAAAGAAAGTTATAAATGTAGGGACTAGTGAATTGTCGAACGGACAATTATCAAGGTTGATGAAGTCACGGAATATTTATACAATTGTAGAATATAGAATAGTAGGATCTCGATAACATATTTTAGGATACAGCTAAGGCTTACAGGGGATCTCAGCTACTCCCTACTATTATAATTCTCACCTGAAATCGTATGGTATTATTTTTATTGTTTCTGGGTGTTAGGCCGATGGTATGGCTGGCAATCGTTGAATAGAGTGACGAATCTAGCTCTAAGGGTTTCTCCTAGTAACATCACAAAACGTCATAAATTGTGTGCGCCTTCGTACCTTTTTATTCTTTTAGAGTCTATGTTTAACTATATTTATTTTACGTGCGCAATTCTTTTAACTAAACTTGCAATTAACTCTTGCCGGACTGAAATATTCCTTTGTTTTGTCACAACAGTATCATAAAGAATTAATATTAGGAGATATAAATAACACATTACAAATCAGAGTTATCAAGTGTTATGTATATTCAGAATGTCTGTATGGTGCAGCACCTTGGAAAATGTCCAAGCCGGAAAATGAAATGTATGCAGGAAAATGTATTTCATGGAAACAAAAACAATCAATTCTGAAAGTTCTTGAGGGATCGAAATAAGATTTAATTGACGAGGACAGTGCTTTTTGTGTTAGTTATCAGACACCAGACAGGAGAAGGCTGAGATTAGCTGGGACTTTAACAATAAAAATGAAGAAACTCCCCTTGTGTAAACATAAAGAATTCATTATAAATTTGAAATTACCCTGGTAAGTCACATGACTGTCATGAACTTGTGGCGATTACTCAAACAGTCGAGAGAGACCATGTGATATGTATTTTAATGGAATTCTGTTTTTGTAGTTCATTATATATTGATGTAATTCTGTAGTAACGAGCTGGACGAGATATAGCAAAATATGCCAGGCAATAAATTGTATAAATAAATTGTATGTATATGCATTATTTACACAAGATGGTTGTTGACATTATTTTTAAAAAGCTAACAAAAATATATCAGCCACAGGAAAAAAAAAGGTGAGCAAGAAATAGACTTGCCATATTAGTGGGGAGATAATATCAAGAGATGAACGGACAAAAGTCTCTCACAGTGAACAGCCAGGGTGAGAGAAAGTCTTCTTCCTCTTCTTCTTGTTCATCGGCTGTAAATTCTGATCAAAAGTTCTGATTGTTCATCCACTTTTGTCTCTAGTCTTTTTCCAGAAACCTGAGTTTTGCCTGCTCATCTATATACAGATCTAGCTTATTTGTGTGTAGACTGTTCGTTCTACCCTTTCACCTCTCAGGCAGGTGGGCTCAAACGTTGAAAGAAACATCAGTAATTAAACTCCTATGAGATGCTTGTTAGGGGGCAGTGGGATGTCCCCTCTCCCCCTCCCCCCATGGAGCATGGAAATTCACATGAGAGAGATGGAGGGATTTGGATGTGTGAGCTTGCATGCATTTTTCTGCCCTCTCCATGTTACTTCCTACAGGTCTGACATCCTGAGATTTTCTGCCCTCTCCGTGTTACTTCCTACAGGTCTGACATCCTGAGATTTTCTGCCCTCTCCATGTTACTTCCTACAGGTTTGACATCCTGAAATTTTCTGCCCTCTCCATGTTACTTCCTACAGGTCTGACATCCTGAGATGTTCTGCCCTCTCCATGTTACTTCCTACAGGTCTGAAATCCTTAAATTTTCTGCCCTCCCTGTGTTATTTCCTACAGGTTTGACATCCTGAAATTTTCTGCCCTCTCCATGTTACTTCCTACAGGTCTGACATCCTGAAATTTTCTGCCCTCTCCATGTTACTTCCTACAGGTTTGAAATCGTTAAATTTTCTGCCCTCTCTGTGTTACTTCCTACAGATTTGACATCCTGAAATTTTCTGCCCTCTCCATGTTACTTCCTACAGGTTTGACATCCTGAAATTGTCTGCCCTCTCTGTGTTACTTCCTACAGGTTTGACATCCTGAAATTTTCTGCCCTCTCCATGCTACTTCCTACAGGTCTGACATCCTGAAATTGTCTGCCTTCTCTGTGTTACTTCCTACAGGTCTGACATCCTGAAATTGTCTGCCCTCTCTGTGCTCTAGTTTTCTTGTTCTTGTGATATGACCAAATAATGTAGATTGTCTATATCAAAGTCAGTTTGTATCAAGAACATCTTCATAACTCTTTGGTATATGGTGGGATATTTAGACATACCTGTGGCCAAACCTCATCATGGTGACAGAACCTGATAGATTAATATTGGTTAGGCTCGCCGCCCACCCCATTCCCTCTCTCCCAAATGACATTCTTCTGTGTAGTGGAAATATCTAAAGTATATTGAAATGAGTCTCTTGCACTTTTAATAATATCTACAGATTCTGGTTCAGAGTCTGTGGCTTGGGAGTCATTGTGGTATAGTGGTTAGATGCTCGCCTGTGGATTCAAAGCTTGTGACTTCAAATCTGCATGGAACCTGATTATTTTCATTCACGACCTTGGCTGCCAGGTTGTCCCAGCCTTAAATGGGTGCGAGGTAAAGTCTGTGGAAGTAAATGTGACCTGAGTGATGTTGATATTGATCACATCACCCATCGAGGGCCAGTTTTTCCATAAAAATGTGAGTCTAGCCCGATGTGCCACTGCTGTGTAAAAGGACCTTTATTTTAATTTAATTTTTTTTATCTGTGGTTTAGGCATTGTGAACATACTTCATAATTCTAAGGTGCTGGATTGAATTCATATCATATTGAAAGCAACAACAAACAAAAACACATGATTCACTGCCTCTTAACTAGCGTATTGTAAAAGGAGACAAATGTGAGGTTGCTAAACTTGGATGTAAGGGGCCAACAAATACACAGCTGTGTCCAGCTGTAGCCTAAAATGTTCCAAACCACCATTCTAAGGCCAAACGCTGAAAATAAAGAAGTTATCATCAGTTCATTGTGACTGTACCAGATTGCTCTACATAAACATACCAGTAATGAACTCCAGTTGTTGTTGTTGATTGCTTCAGCAACTAATCACCAAGCAGAATCGAAAGCTGTGTGCTGGGGCTTGCCTTCTGTTGTCCTGTAAGCTCAATGACATTAAGGGACCAGTTCTGACCAAACTTATAGAGGTGAGCATTTTCATCTGTTGTCTGTTATGTTCATTTTCTTTGCTATGTCAGCACTGGATCTATAATACACCTAGCACCACTCTGGAGGGGATCTCCTTGGTGAGGTGGTCAAGCCGTTTGCCTCTGAAGGTCTTGGGTTCATTTCACAGTGGCATTATTCAGTTCACACGTACAGTTTTTACAGAGATCCCTGGGGATCGTCATCAGAGCTATGGGAGTTGTGCTCTGTGCGACACTCTCAGCAGGCAGCTAGATGTTCTGCAGAGAGAGACTGAGCCATATGGAATAAAACCAAGTGCAGTGAAGTCGCTTCTCTCACCCTTACCTTTCACCACTCTGTGATGGTTGAGATGTCTAAAATACTATCTAGAAGAATGGTTGAAGCATGTTTCTGCATTTAGTAAAACTATTTTTATTCCATTTATTCACAGCAAATCGTAGACGACCTGCGTGTGAACCGCAAGGAACTGTTGCAGTATGAGATTGAGTGTCTAGTGGCGATTGAGTTTTCCCTTCACATTCCAGACAGTGAAATATTTCCTCATTACCAGCGCCTTCTGTACAGATCATAACTGCATAAATGACTGACCTAGTCATCATTAGCCATTAACTCTGTAGGGTCATATTTTGCCATCTTTGTACTGTCTGTTCCTTTGTTTATTAATGATGATTTAAGTTTGTGTTGTAATTTTAATTTGCAGTATTACTGCGGCAATACTCTGCATTTGTAGAAACTTTCACTGTTTTAATTTCTACAATTCATGATTTTAGTCTCTTATATTGGGTTGTTAATGTTTATATTGATATCCACATTCATTATTTTTAAAATAGATTCTAATAGACCATTGTATTGGCAATCACAGAGGCAGAAGAATGATGTGGAGAGACAACACAATATAGTAGTGGCCAGGAGTAGAAAGAACCTATCTCTGTTGAATATCGGCAGAAATAGTATCCAGCCAGTAAAATAGCACCACAGAGTCTCCCCGACTTTATAGGTTCATTGGCTTTATTGCCCACTGGCTTGTTTTACGTCTTGATCTTTCATTTGAGGACGACTCTTTGTTGGCTACTGAGGAAAAAGACTGAAAATTATTTTCTCACTCATTTGGACTTAAATAGCTTAAATTATTAGCAGATTACCAAGTTTCGACACAAGTGATAATTTAATTTATGTATATTTTCAGCTAGAAAACTGTCCCTCAGATGAAGTCAGATTTAAAATAAAAAATTTTTTTTTCTTAAATGATATTTGAAGAATGTGGAGTGATTAATTTTTTTTTAACTGTATTTTTATATTTTTCACAGCCACACAAAATGTAATGTTAACTGCTTGTGGATGTTACTAAGATCATGTTTTATAATCATAATTTTTTTTTTTTTTAAATTCTGTTTTACTCATGTATTGACCTGTGCTTTCATAGCGGATTTGAGTTCTGACTTGCATTATCTAAGTTGTATCAGCAGGCTTGTTATATTATTGTTGCATGGTTCTGATGTATGAATAACGAATAAATGTGAACAACCAGGACAACAGCAAGAGCAGCACAAAACAACACAGCTTTGCAATGAAATGATCAAAAGGTTGTTTAAGGCCAGTCCAAAAGCTGATATGTTTGAAGATGATGATGATGATGAATTTCTCTTTAAGCATGGTTATGATTTATATTGCCTGTTTTTTTTACTCTCCAGTTTTCAGTATTATTTCACATATTTTTCTTTTTTTTTTAAATACTTTCAGTATTATAATTTCAACAGTTGTGTACAATTCAGTATTTTTTTTTTCAGTGTAGTTTTGACATTTTGTGCTAGCGTTTATTTGCTTAGAGATAAAACATAATTTGGTAAGTAACATTATTATGATTGTGTAACTCATATTGTATTTTGTTACTGCTTTTCTACGCTGTGTTGCTGCCTTTCTGCGCTATGTTGCCTTTCTACACTATATTTGCTGCCTTTCTGCGCTATGTTGCCTTTCTACACTATATTTGCTGCCTTTCTACTGTAAACATAATTCTCTCTTCATTATGTTTTTCTTCTTCTTCTCTTCCTCCCTTTGCTGCTGCATTCCAAACCCTTGAGGTTCATTGCTGCAGATATCAACAGTCTCTGTTCATTTGTCTGTTTGGCCTTATGTTTCTATTTGGTGGCTCCAGCAGGTGTTTGCAGGTCTGAATGAATATTATTGCTCCATTGTCTTCATTGTCGACTTCCATTTAGCTAGAGAGTTCCCTCTATAAATTTAGTATATTTGGCAAAGTTTCATTTTATTTGTCAGTCCAAAAGAAATTGTCCATCAATTTTATTCAACATTTGAAATGCCCCGAAAGTCTGAAGCCTACTGCATTTAGTCTCTGATACTTGCTCTGGCTGCTGTTATTCCTGTAATCTGGAGACATGGACAAGCCTTCACATATAGGACTGTTAAGACTTGGGTCTGTAGAGGAAATATCTCAAGAATCTGTTAAAAACAGAAAATTAGATGGATTGTTGTTTGGAGTCTTGTCACAGATTCGTCTGTGTCACCCTTAAAAGGGCACTTTACAATGTGTATTGTAGTTTACAGTTGGGCTGTGGTATCTGTGCCTTTTGGCCCTATACATCTTATTTCAGCAAGTACCACATTTATTTGCCATTTATGACACACTTCTTAGGGAGCAGTGCGTCTGTTCTTTTGTATCCTCCACAAAATGAAGCTTCCCAACCCACAGGGGATTCTTTCATAGATGATGCCTTAAACACCTTTTACAAGCGTTTTTTTTTTAAATTTTTAAATATATAATGCCAGAGCACCAGCAATGATTTCTGGAGGTGTGAATGAAAAATAATCATTTACTTTTGCAGATAAAGAGTTCACCTTATATGAAGTTTTTTTTTTTAAGGAGCTTTCCTTCGTGAGGCTTACTCAAAATTATTCATCCTTTTTCTGTGGGCGTTGAGAATTCAAATGATATGTTCACTTCATGAATTTAATGAGGTTGTTCAGTCAAAATTAATCATCTACTTTAGTTTTGGAAGAATTCACATTATAAATTATTTTCTTTTCATGACATTTGTCGTGTTGTTAAATTATGTGACTGGTTCACAGCTGTTCCTTGAAAATATCACTTCATCTGAATATTTACTCCGTGACTGCCTATAAACTTAATCTTGGAGAATTTTAGTGATGGTTTACTTTTGCCTTCTTCATGCCTTCATCCAATTAAATTCATTTTTTTCACATGTTATTTATTCACTGCCTTTTTTACCTTGTATGGAAATTTAATGTAACAAGGAAACAGGTTTTCTTTTTCTGCATTATATTATTCGCCGGCTTGTACATAACTTTACTAAACGTACATCATTTGGCATTTTGTAATTTACACAGACTGGATTGCCAGTTCTTTCTTTTCTATGAAATTACACTGTCTGTCTCATTTGTCAAGTTGGCAATTTTGTACCAAGTTTTTTCCCCTGTTCTGTGCTGTTTTTAATCTTGCTGAGCAGGATAATACATGTCTCATATCTGCCACCTTTGTTAAGATCATGTGGAAGACATATTCTTCTTCTTCTTGTTCACCGGCTGTGAATTCCGGGGGTAAGTCGCGGTTGTTCGTCCAAAATGGACTTTTGGCTTTTACCTTGACCTGAGTTTTGCGTGTACATCCGTTTTACTGGCTTATTTGTTCGCAGTTCTCGCTCCCCGCCTCACAACCGTGTATTGAGCTACAAGGCTGCGCTCTCCGGAGATCAGCGGGGAGCAGCCCGCAGGTCTAGGATGTTTGTGGCCACACAAATAAGTACATTCTTTTTCATCTTACGTTAGACACCTTTAACGTTGTTTCAGCTGTGCCCTTAGCACGACAGAATGGGGAAGCAAAATGCGTCAGGCGTGGCTTCACCTGTTTGGTCCCAACACTCGGGCGAGTTGGACCAGTGGATACGGACATTCGGACTTTTTCTTAATCGGTACGAATTATGATCGTCGGACTTTGAGCTTGCATGTGTGCCGTGGGGTATAACTTTGTCGGACATTATTTCCAAGCCAGCATATGAAAAGTTGCTGCCGTGGTGTACCTCAGCGCGGTGACGACGACACTGAGGATTGAGGATGTATGTAGGTAGGATCTTACTGCGAGAAGTTGCCCGCAAGAGATGTTACTCGTCTTGGCTGCGGGTAAATCTCTCGGTCAGGGTTGAGTCTCAGCAGCACAGTAATCCATTCGCTCCCGAATTTTAACCAAGAGTTGTCATTTGATGGTACATTTAGCAAGCAATCCTTGAGTTTTGTTAGACTTTTCACACATGCGTTTGGGGGCGGGCTGGTGAGAGCCAGAAAGGACAATACACCTCTAGGGGCCGCCAGCTCCGAGATCCCCTGCCAACTCTGTTAATGCTCATTTGAGACATTATCTGTGGCGCACGACGGGGACGTACAGCAGGAGTCTTGCATGAGGTTCCGTAAAACCAGAACAGTGAAGGACTGGCGCCCGAGTGGGGTACGGAGTATCTCCTTATACACCTCACATCAGACTTAACTTTGCCTCATGCCTGTGACCGAAATCACCGCGCCACGGAAGACATATAAACTTGTTTGTTTGCTAGTTCCACAAGGGCACGTCACTTTGGTTTTTATTTAACTCCGTGTACAGATTTAGTCTCTGTAATTTTGTATTTGCCTAGTGTAGTATTATTGATTAGTTTAAAACCAGCTAATGTCTTCATTTTGAGTCTGAAATTGTCTAAAGTCTAGATACAGCCAAAGTACATATATTCAAGAAACTAAATTTATTAACATTTTTACAATTGAAATTTTAAATATTGTCTTTAGTATGGTTTTTATCATTTGCGATGCAAAGGTTGATGATAAAAGAATTTCACATTACTATCAAGTTTAGAACATTCACTCCCTATTTTATGTGTGTCTAAACTGAAGGGACACCCTGTTTACACCCAGTTTTATTGATACATTGTAATGTGCCTTGTCAACTGACAAGTGATCATGCTTCTTCCACATTTTGTAAATCTCAAAACAGAATCAGTCAAGTCATAGACGATTTTCCATGCCAAAATGAAATGCAGTCAAGAATATTTTGTTTCCCTGGTCTCATATTTCCATTAATTGAAGAGTGACAGAAGAAAACCTTAAAATATGATATAAATAGCAATAACCATCATTGTCTTGTAACCTGACAATACTGTTTTTGAGGATGTCATGAATGTTGAGCACAAATTGGAGAGCATTGGCATACATCAAAGAACAAAACATTATTTTATGATAATTTTCAGACACTGAAATTACTTAAAAATAGAAGGAGAGTAACAAAGGAAGACTTTAAAAGTGTGATAGAAATTTCAGTAACCATGTCATTGTCTTGTAACCTGACAATATTATTTTTAGGGATGTCAGGAGTGTTAAGCATGTGAAATCATGGAGTAGACCCACTTGTAATTGTGTACTTTATGATAAGAAATTATATTGTTGACAAAAAGGTTCACATATTTTTCACTGGGTAATTTTTCTCAATTTGGGTTTGTACGAGGGGAAGTCAATAAGGAAGTCACATTGGTTATGGGATTGTAGGAAAATGTA